GGGAACGTTGGTTTCCTCCATCACTGAAGCAAGCAAGCCTCATGTTAGTTTCAAGCTGCCTCGCTGCCAGCCGCCATCTTGGCTGGCAGTTAATTTGCATATCGCCCTGATTAGCCAATGGGAAGGGTAGCGGTCGTATGCTAATTACCATGTTTCTCTTTTATTAGATAGGATATGCTATATTTATTCTTAAGTACCTTCTAATTTTTCTTTCTTAATAAATATAATATTTTAATATTAAAAGATTTTTAACTTAATTGTTACTGGTTTTTAAATATAATAGTCTTGATGATCTCTCTTTATTTTAATAAAATGTTTATAGATTTCCTTAGATTTTTCTGTATAGTTATAATTTTTTGTAGATAAAGTTTTGTCCCTTTACCTCCAATTATTAAACTGTGTTTGAAATAAGAAAAGTAAAAACTATAAAGATGTCAATTGATTTTATTTATTTTATAAATGCAATTCAATTTCTATGAAAATCTAAACGAAAATTTTTCCCAAAGAATTTTACAAATTGATTTTAAAAAATAATAGGTCTAAGCAAAATAGCAAGATGTTGACAAAGAAGAAAACAGGTCTTATTGATTAATTAGATGTTGGGGAAGTGACTACAAGATAAAATATAGATACTGTATAGTAACTCCATCCTCAATGGAGTTAATACTAATTATTCGTAATTAATGGGCTCAATAATTTAGAAGTACATACTTCATAAAGAAAACTAATAAATGGCAGCTATCGCTATACAAAACCCAAGTGAGCAGCCTGTCTACAGCAAACCCTGCGATCCTTGCTCAGAGGGGCTGCAGCCCCAGGATACAGAGTCCTTGGAACCGGGTAAGGGTCTGCAGGGCTCTGACCCAGGTGCACATGAGTGAGGTCTGAACTTCATGGCCTGCCAGAACCCCTCCAGTCTACTAAGACTTAAAGACCTTCAAAGAGCCATACCAGAAAATTTTCACTGAACATCCTACACGATGCACTTCGTCTCAAAGCTTTATTTTTTCCTCTTCAAAGTTGACAGTGTGCTTGCCAGTGAAAGCAGATTCAAGGACAGCCAAAGGACTACAGGGAGATTATTTTCGTGGTAAGAATGAGGCAGAATGGAAGGACACAGAGGAAGACAATAGGAAGCAAAACTTCCAGGCCCTCTGCACACACACACACACACACACACACACACACGCAGCACTTGGGAAAATGACAGACCAGCTCCTCCTTTGTTCCCCCTCACCTACCCCACACAAAATGTAAATCAGGAGAGAAAGGTGCATTAATGAAATGTTCTTCAATTGATGTGCCTTCCTGTTGCCTTTTGAGCCTCATAGACACACAGAAAGAGGGAGGAAATGATTTGCGCTGGTTTGTGAAATTTAATATGCCTGCAAAGCCAATTGTCTGTCTCTTGATAACTCAGCAGTTTAGACTCATCATGACATTTCATCCTCAAGGGCTATCTCAATTCCTCAAATAGATCTTCATCCTACCACTCACACATTCAAGGCTGAAAAATTTTCCTCACTGTATTAAATTAAATTACCTTTAAAACTTGCAGCTTTGCTTCAAGCTCGGCTCTCTTGAGAATTGCTGTTCCATTAAGAGTCTCTATCCTGTTTTAAGAAAAAAAAAAAACGGAGAGGAGGAGAAGAGCATGAGTGATTCATTCAAACAAGTACCATCCTTACGAAGTACTACAATTTAAACTCAGGCTCCTTAAAAGACAACATAAATGTTAAGATTCTCCTGGCACTATAAGTATCTGGACCTACTTCAAATCTTCTAACAACATTTAGAGAAAGAAAATGGGGGAAACAAACAAGCAAAAAAAAAAAAACAAAACTCCCCTGCAGAGGGTGAACATTCAGAGAAAGAAAATGGGGGAAACAAACAAGAAAAAAAAAAAAAAACTCCCCTGCAGAGGGTGACTGGAAGAATTTGGTTAATTTGTCAATTGTAGCTCATTTTATAGAAGCCCCTGTATGATGATGGTGGTTGTTCTCTACTAGAACCTATTCTTGTGGGGTCTGGCTGAATCACCTCATCCATTTGGTGAATATTTATTGGACATCTACTATGTACCAGACTTTGGACACCATGCTAAGCATGAGGAATATAGCAATAAGAATAGCAAGCAATAAGAATAACAATAAGAATTTCAAACAGTGGCATCAACATGCTATTCCTTGAAAGGAAAAAATCTTTTCCTCACTAACATGTCAGGAGCTTTTACCTCTGTAAATTGTCTTCACTTTGGAACGAGAACAAAGAAAACCAGAACTACTATCAGTTAGTAACCTTCATATGACGCTCTCATCTCAAAACCTTTTAAGCTCACACACTTCAATCCTAGAATTATCTACTTAATAGGGTTCTTTCTCCCTATACCTTTATAAAAATAAAAAGATTTGTTCTATCCTGAGTGATTTGATTTGTTTTGTGGGCACAAGTTAAGGCCTTTATTTTCACTGTTAAGCCATCAATCTGAATAAGATAAATTTTATGTGTGAGTCACACACCTAAACATTTTTAAAGTATTGGTTCAAATTCCTTCTATAACTCTCTAAAGATGCAAGAATTTTTCAAGGCATGGTAAAATATAAACATTAAATGTGGAGATCAATTTTCCTCAATTTCTAATAGCATAATACCCAAGATAATGAAATGATAGCAAGCCAAGACATTATCTGCTTCCTCATTAGAGCAGTCTTGATTGTGAGCAATGGTGAGGATCCCTGCAAATCTGTCCCATTGGGATTTTTAATGTCAATCTGACCTGCCCAAGCAACAGATGTCTATGGGAAAACCTCAGGCCTAGATTGGCTGCTCTCTTCAGTATTAGTATAGACTATCATTTTCCTGATCTCTGACTTTCCCACTGTCTCCAGCCATTACTCCTTAGATATCTCCTGACGCTTACATTAGGTTTAGTTAAGAACAATCTTCTGGTGCTGATAGAAGACTGATTCCAACTCTGTGGATCCTATGAGTTCAGGTAAAGAGAAGCTTGAATCTGCAAGGCAGAAACCATATAGAGTCCAAGAGAAAATGTCGGTGGTTGGACTCAGTCCTCTATCACCAGCAGTCATCTTCCAAAACCACTAGACACACCAAACATCCTTGAAGTTTTAGACCACAATCACTGAAGAGTGGCCAGTGGATTCTCTATTGGCGGCTTACAATGAGCAGCTGCGCTGGGGCTGAAAAGAAGAGATCGTGGCATCCGGAGCAGGTGGTCAAATCCCAGCCCTCTGACTTACTAGATGGTTGATCTTAACTACACCTCGTTTCAGTCTCAGTCACTTCACCTATAAATAGGAATAAAACTAACCTCATGAGGTGGCTCTGAAGAAGAAATGAGAAAATATAGGATCTAACATAATCAGAATAAATCCTAAACTACCTAGCCTGGTTGATAGACCCATACTCTGCCCCCAGGCCAACTCCCTGTCTTTGTTGTTGTTGTTGTTAATCTGCACCCAAAGAAATTTTTCCCATCGGTTTTTAGAGAAAGTCAAAGGGAGGGAGGGGGAGAGGGAGATGAAGAGAAAGAGAGAGAGAGAAAGAGAGAGATGTGAGAGTGACAGGTCCATTGGTTGCCTCTGGCACAAGCCCCAACAGGGGCCAGGGACCAAACTTGCAACCCTTGACCAGGAATCAAATCCATGAAACTTCAATATATGAGCCAACTATCTAACCACTGAGCACACTGTCCAGGGCTCAACTCCCTGCCTTCATCCCTTATTATATTCCCCCTAATTCACCAACCACCAATTACACTGGCTTTCTTTATCTTCCTTGGATGTGCCAAGTCCTTTTTGACTACTTAGAGACCTCTCTCTTTACTTTAAATGCTCTCTTATGAAGAATTAATATAATCATCCTTCTTTTCATTTAGGTCTCAGCTCAAAGTCCACCTCTTCAGAGAGGACCATTTTAAACACGTAAGCTAAAGTATCAGCCCTCTTGCTCAGGGTTCTAACCCATACCTTATTGTACTTGCTTCATAGCAATTACGGATAATTGCAATATCAACATTATTTATTTTGCAGGTTTTTCTTATCTATCTCCTTCCATCTCCCCTGAGCCTATCCCAGTGCTGGAAACATAATATTTGCTCAAGAAATACCATTTTAACAAATGAGTGAAATCCATCTTTTAACTAAATACTAAAGTTTTATTAGGTACTAGGGATGGTATAGTTGAAAAAATAAATCTCCAATAGGGGAAACCAGTGTCCCATTATTAAGTCTGAAATAGTAGTAGGGGTGAGTGTGCACGCATGTGTGTGTGTGCGTGTGTGTGTGTGTGTGTGTGTGTGTGTGCAGGGTGGGGAGGGCTGTCTGACTTGGTTCTTCCTTCCGAATGGAACACTCGATGAGAAAAACTATTGGCTTGTGGTATAAGATGAAAAACTCAACCATTCTGACCTTTTGTTTGTTCTAACCACAAGTTTATATCAGCCATGGAAATTGGATCATTTTTTGTCTATCCAAAGAAAAGGAGTGCCAGTTTAATTGAATTTAATGTTATTTTTTAAAATACTCTCCCTCCCACTTGGATGTTTGGGCTATCAATGTCCTCTGACTTCAGATGTTGACAACATGTTCAAGTTTGAGGAAACCTTGAGAAACAAAAGGAACTGATAAAAACGTCTGTATCCAGTTCCAAAGCTATGGTGCACTGCCTCCCTTCTTAGGAACCTGAACAATAAGTCTATTCATTCACTCAACAGGCATTATGAGAGACTGTAACATTTCTGAAGCCCCAGGGAAAGCAGATGGATAGTTACGTTAGCAGGTTTCCTGACGATCTGATCAGGTCAACAACTTGCTTGTGGGTAAAGCCTTCTGTGCCCACGCCATTGATATTTGCAAGGATATCACCTGGGAGATGCCAAGAAAAAAAATGAGTGTTAATGTGATAGGTTAAATAATCCTTCCTTGCATGCAAACGAAGAAAAAAACAAGCAAGCCTCAAACCTTAGCAACATAAAGGCACTAAGAAAATCCGAAGCAACAATACTGTCCTGACCTTCGCTATCAAAAAGTTTTCTCTTCTTGCTATTTAAATAATTCTTAACATGAGCAAAGCTGTAAGTTACCGGCTTGCAGGCCAGCACAGTGCGCTGGGCTGTCCTCCTGGATTTTGCAGATCAGAGTGCACAGCTCTGAGATGCAGGTGTTCTGGTTCTGGAGCCTGTGAGTCTGCAAAAATTCAAGTGAGACATAATTACTATTCCAAAAACTCAAAATCTATTTGTCAAAAAATAAAATGGTGTCAGTTGTGTAAGTGGGATAATGGAAGATGCAGAGAACAATTTGGAAAGGCTTTCCTGAATATAAACTGACTCAAATAGACCAGTGGTCGGCAAACTCATTAGTCAACAGAGCCAAATATCAACAGTACAACGATTGAAATTTCTTTTGAGAGCCATTTTTTTAAAACTTAAACTATATAGGTAGGTACATTATTATTAACTTAATTAGGATACTCCTAAGCTGGCCTTTGCTAAAAACGTCCTCAATCTGAGGGGTTGACCTCAGCGAACGTACCCCCACTTCTTCTAACACCACTTCTTCAAAATAGACTTGCCCAGGCCAAAAACCGACTTCTGCGCATGGGCCACGAAGTTTCAATCGCACCGTACGTGTGCGCCCACACGTGTTATTTTGTGGAAGAGCCACACTCAAGGGGCCAAAGAGCCGCATGTGGCTCACGAGTGGTGGATGAGCCACTGGTGGTCGGCAAACTGCAGCTTGCGAGCCACATGCAGGCGTGCACATACAATGCGATTGAAACTTGTGGCCCATGCGCAGAAGTCGGTATTTTGTGGAAGAGCCACACTCAAAGGGCCAAAGAGCCACAGGTGGCTCGTGAGCCGCAGTTTGCCAACCACTGAAATAGACCAATTTTGCAATCCTACCAGATAATCTTCAACCAACCCCAGTCATTAAAAAAAATCTGCCTAGAGAAAAAAAGTGGGATAATACTGGCTCAAGTTTTTATATTTCCAGGCCTAAGAGACCACCTGATGCTCTCATTATGGCATATTTCCTGAGGAAAATTAAGTTTCTCATTTCCCAAACGGGATTAAAAAAATGGTGGCCAATAGCAAAGAGAAAGATGCTCCTGAGGGTCTCCCATGCTAAAATACTCACTACAGGAGACGACAAAATAGTCCATGTCCAGCAATGGAGATATGCCAACAATAATTCTTTTACATTAGGGTTCTGCAAATAATGACAATCTGCCCTGCATTCATTCAAAAGCACTATAATTGACTCAGCCACCTTCATTTCTGAGCACTTGCTGGTACACCTGTCTTGAATAATCACTGGTTCATTAGTCACCCAACCAAATCAGAAAACGTTATGCTTCACTTCTTGCCTCAATTTGGCAAGAGCAGGTTGTTTTTGTTTTTGCTTTTTAAATTATACCAAGAGCACTGCATACGTGTTTGCTAGATGACTTATAGCCCAACACAGGTAAGTTATGGGGTCTAGTTCCATTTAGACTCAAAATCACCATTCTGATTCCTAAAATTAAGCCACATTCCAGAACTGCCTCTTTATGAAGGAATTTATTAATGAGTATTAATGAGTATTAATGAGTATTAACTGATGAGTATTCCTTCTTATATTTTAATATGTTTTTATTGATTTTTTTAAGGAGCAAGGAAGGAAAAAAGATAGAGTGATGGAAACATCAATTGACTATTTCCTGCATGCCCCCTACTGGGGGATCGAGCCTGTAACTCAGGCATGTGCCCTGAGTGGGAATCAAACCAGTGACCTCTTGGTTCATGGGTTGACACTCAACCACTGAGCCACACTAGCAGGACCCTTCTCATTTAAAAAAAAATGTTGTTATTTTTACTGATTTTATAAAGAGAGGAATGAAGAGGGAGGGAGAGAGTGAGAAACATTGATGTGAGAGAGAAACATCAATTATTTATCTCCCATACGCCCCCCTACCTGGCATCAAACCTGCAATTTGGGCATGTGCCCTGACTGGGAATCAAACCAGTGCCTATGCTTAACCAACTGAGTCACACTGGCCATGGCTCATTCCTTCTTATTTTACAGACTTACGAGCTCTAGAACCAGAAGGTAGTCATGTGCAAGCAACTTCTAGAAATTTGACTTCGTTAAAATGTAAGGTTCTAGTCACTCAAGGAGGCATTTAGAATCCCCATATCTTAAGGTAAAAGGGACTTTTAGAGGTCACATAATATATTTCCCAACTCGTAAAGAGACACTTTAACAGTTTTTCTGCCAGGAAATCTTGCCACAGCCAGACCTCTCCAGCCCAGACCTTTCTGGTACAAGAACTATAGCTATAACAGACACTCCATTTGGAAACCACTGTTATACCAACTCCATTAGCAGTGAAAATGTGCCCTCCAGGTCCAGGGGTGAAAGTGAGTGCAGTGAAGGAGAAATGTTTGCCAACTGCTATAAAATTTGTGGGTTAGAGATAGGAAAGAAAAGGCAGAGGCCCCAAAGTTATAGGAAGAAATAACTAGTTGAATCTCTCTCTCTCTCTCTCTCTCTCTCTCTCTCTCTCTCTCTCTCTCTCTCTTCTGCTTTCACATTTAATAACAAAACCAATCCTTAGAGACACAAAAGTCACATTGCCCTTTCTCATACCCAATGACCTCCATTCTAACACTTGTCATTTGCTGATCTTCTACTGGTACAGACACATTACTAAGTATTTTGTATGTGTTATTTCATTTGAAATTCCTAAAACCCCCACGAGGCAGGTGTACATGAATCTAAAGCCCGTGCTTCCATCATACTCTGTGATTCTCACTAGCAGCATATGAGTAGCAACCCGTGGAAAACCAGAGAGGACAGTGAGGTTGTTCTCTTCTAACCACCCCTTCCCTTGGTAGACCAGGACCCACATAGGTGTTAACATTATGAGCACATGAGGTTCTGTCTGGTCTTCAGAAAGTTCCCACGGCATGTCCTCTATTCAGTGAATATGCAAATGTTGTAAGTACTCGAGAAGAGGCACCGCACGGAGCTGGTAATGGAAAGCATACACCCAAAAAGAATGCCCAGAGGAGTGAGTTCCTGCAGTACTGATATAACACATAGGTGCTCCGGTTCAGAAGTGAAGCCATTAGCTCATGTTGAGCTACAAAGGTTCATGGTGCTGTAGGCTGTGGTCTATTAGTGACCCTTACTCCACATGGAATGTGTGTTTATGGTATGGGGGAGACACCTGGGGGGCAGTGACATGTCATAGAAGCATGAGAAAAAAAATCCTATTTGTCACTTTAAATAAGGATACGTGAGCAGCCACTGATCCTGCTTTCAGTAGCAATGGCTGCACATCTTTGTGCATAATTCTCATTTTAAAAAAGCAATCACAAAACATACAGTCTCTGCAATAGATCAGGGGTTGTTTTGTGTGAATGGGGAGAAAGCATAGTACTGCTTTTAGAAGCATAGTACTGATAGAAGAATTATAGATTTCCCCAAATTTTAAAATAGAAGAGGTCAGAAAACAGAAGGTATCTTCTGTTCTCCTACAGCCTCCCTATGTTCATTGAAGATAGAGTTCCATTTTGTTTCTTGATTCATAAAGCATGCTTTACTTAGCAGCTTCCTGTTCCTTATCTTAAAATACACGCTGACTTTCCAATTGTGGAAAGTCACCAACGTTTTCTGAAAGCAGCACCAAAGCTAAAACCTAAAAGATGATGTGCAGTATAAGAATATGATTGTGCAAAATACATCTAAAAGAAACACAAAAGTTTAATGGAAAAATACACACAGTTAATGCTTAAGCTACTACTGTACTTAATTGCATTTGACTTCATTTGCCCTAACTCATCATCTTTACAAATATGGCCATTTAAAAAGCAGACAACAAATAAGAACTGAAATTCTTCGGCTATTACATGGAAACCTATAGACTGTTTTAAAAATTTCCCAGATTACGAAGCACTACGCAAATAGAGCCATGTTTTTAAGTGTTTCAAATAATTATAAAGTGTCATCATTAATATAAAAGGGCAAATTTGTCATAAAATAATTTTTTTCCAAAATGTAGTAGGAATTATACATGAATGCAGTCCATATATACAAGTATATATGTTTTCAAGGATTTCTTAAATATCAAAGTATAGATTTAAAATCTGACATGTAGTATAAAAATCATTAGGCAAAGACAGCAGACAGGCAAATATTCAAAATACACATCTATAAAGATTATTTCTCTCTCTTATTTAAGACCTGCCATGGAACATATGTAATACTTTCAACAATAAAGATAAAATAAAAAGACCTGGATGACATCAAGCATTTCTGATCAGTCTCAGACTCTCATGGAGGCTGAAGCAACTAAGAACAAAGAGTTGAACAAGTCTCAGGGGTTTTATTTTATGTGTTTCAATGTTTTCTTTCCTAGATCGTCCCAAAGGCACTAAAGAACTACCAAGATAACCACACATTGAATAAAAATCAGTCTCCATCATTCTCTACTTCATTCTTACTTTGCAAATATCATGACACTACTTTATGAAAAGTTTGAAAACTGCCCACCTGAATTTCAAATCCAAACGTTCCATTATCCTGCTTCTCCACAGTCACAAGCTTTCTGTAATAAAATATTTAAAAAATGTTTTAAAAAATGATGCAGAAAGATCAAAGTATCATATTTGTCACATACTTATTGAAAATGAAAAACAGCCACAATTTAAAATAGCTGACACTTATGTAAATTGTAGTATTGTAAGTGTGTGTGTGTGTGTGTGTGTGTAAATAAGTCTGGAGAGCTGTGTTCCTAAATATGTTGATGAGAGACCAAAAAAACAAATAAATCTCTTTACCTTTGAGACCAGGCAAAATCACCCAAAGAACTTGATCTCGTCAAAGCAAGCTGAAAAATACAACAAACACACCATTACCAAAAGGTCCTTAAGACACATCTGTACATGTTTTAAATCACAAAGAACTTTGCTTTTTATCACCTTCTTTGGCTCAGCTCAAAGAAGGTAAAGGCAGTAATTTCCATTGCTTAGTGGTAGCACGGGAGAGCTGGCAAAGGGAGGCCCAAGCATTCTTTTTAAAAGATTTTAAAAAGCTCTGATAATAATACACTGTGGCAAGAGTCAATGTAATGTGGCAAAACTCCAAAGCTTCCCAAAAAGAACTTCATATCTAATCTGTAATAAAAATAGACTCTGAGAGATTAACCATAGAGATTAATCCCACTGAAGTCCAAAGAAAAACAGCACCCAGGAACGGCATGCAAAACACAAATACTTAATCATTTTTGGAGATGTTGATGAAATGACTGCGTTTATAGTAATAGTTACTTTAAAATGTTACTTTTTAAAAGCAGGTTAAAGTATGCTCTAAAGAACCGATTCATATGCAGAAATATAACCCAGGTAAAGCCAAACACTCAAAACCTCAATTCTGTTTATGATTTATTTTTGTAATAGTTTTGGAAGAGTGCAGTGAGATTTCCAGCCAAGGAAGAAAAAGGAACCCCGGAATGGTCTAAATGGCATTAAGAACACCACCTTCACTTTATGTTTTGGAAGAAGATCATATACACATAAAATTCCAAAATACATTCAACCATTGTCAGTTGGGGAAAAGCTGACAAAAGGTGGCATCTAGATTTTTTTAAATGTATTTTTATTGATTTTAGAGAGGAAGGGCGAGAGAGAGAGATAGAAACATCAATGGTGAGAGAGAATCATTGATCGGCTGACTTCTGCACGCCCCCCACTGGGGATCGAGCCCACAACCTGGGCATGTGCCCTTGACTGGAATCGAACCTGGGACCCTTTGGTTCGCCGGCTGACACTTTATCCACTGAGCCAAACCGGCTAGGGCAAGCATAGAGATTTTTAGCTGTTTTTCTAAGTGATCAAAATGAGTTTCTGTGAGTGTTTTGTTTATTTGTTGAGGAATTAACAAATGTTAATTAGCCTTTTCTCAAGTGTTGGTCCTGGGGCCCTACACATAAACATTCATGCTCCAAGGTTACCCATGATGTTTCGCTGTCAACCTAATATAAATTGTCAGGAAATCAATGCATACTGAGTCTAAACAAATACAAATAAAATAGAGAAGGAAAACTGGAAGGAGAAAAACTCATAGAAGGAATTAATGCACGAAAGAAACCCTCATTAAGGCATTTGTTAGGAGAGAAGCCCACAGCCCTGTAAGGAACTGGAATTACCTAGTACCAGATGCCAACATTCTGACACATTTTCTGGAACACTCAGTATTAGGGCAGAGTTTGGCTGCTGGTCAGTAAAGTTAATGTAATGGAGTGCTGGTTTCTTCCCACTGAGTTGATGTAAATTAATTACATCTTTCTTTTGAGTCAGTTCTGAACCTCAAATCATTTATATCATCCTATGGTAGCAATAGGAAGGCTCAGACACAAAAAGATTGTCTTGAGTTGCTGCAAAGTATTGATTTTCAACTTATAAAGACTGACTGTGGGAGAGCTACAACAATGTGTGTGGTTTATTTCAGCCTGATTTTGTCCTGGGAAGTATCAATAAGAAGAGTGGGGGCCATTAAGCTGTGTAGTAGGCGAACTTCTGGTGGAAGAGAGCAGGAAATGATATTCCCAAGCATTCTCAATCTTTCCCTTACATTGTTTCTCTCATTTTCTTAATCTGTTTTTGTTATTTGCATCTCATTGGCTTTTTTATCCTTCTTTCAAGTTGTAAATTACTTAGGTAGGCCATATCTATGGTTATCTATAATCATAACCAGGGTTTATATTTAAAAATATGACCCTTGCTTTTAGTTAGCAGATTAGTCATAGCATTGATAGGAACCCCAAGATTTCATCTGGTCCACCCTCATCCTACCTTCTAAATAAATTAAAAAAAATCATTCTAGATAGATCAAATCTAAGATTTTTTAAATCTACATGACAACTCCAAGACCTAAAGAGAGGGATCATAAACTCAACCCCAGACATCTTTCTATTAGTGGCTAGCAAGGGGTTAAAGAACTTTGGGTACTCAGCAGTCTCAATTGAATCACCAAATTGCTAAACCTAGCGTTCTCATATTATGTGTAATAAGAGAAGGAAATTTCCCCACCTCTCTCCTGCTACCCTTTCCATCTAGCTAATTGAGTCACTGACAATGAACATTTTTGCCTAGCACGTTAGAGGCATAGCGGGTGATCAGCTCCTATAGACTGACTGATTCGGGTTATCAATGACACACCCCAAAAATCAGACTAAGCCAAATTATAAATTAGTTTCCACTCTGGGTTAGCAAGGAGCCTGTTTTAGGGACCTAACATTGAAAGAAGAAAAACAATTTAAATAAACTAGGCACCATCAAATTCCCTGACCCGTGCCACTTCTTGACACAAAGACTACTTGCTTTTGATCAGGGCTGTCAGACGCAGGTGATGTGGAAAGGAATGTTCTCAGGGTTCAAACTTGTTCTCACCCTGAACTACCTGCCTCGGTGAAGAGAAGTTTGCCTAAGGTCTTATCGGAGGTCTGACACTTGGAAAAAAGTTTTCCCTGCAGCCCTTTCCCAATGTGAGCAGCCTGGTTCTAGGACCTCACTAGAGGAGTCTCTACTCTCAGCCTGCCCTCCGGAGTCTTTTCTCAGGGCGGTGGTGATGGCACCAAAACTCATGAATGAGGCGCTGGTGTGGAATGAGCAGCATATGCTGGCAACAGCTGTCTTTTATTACACATTATCTAATATGAGAACGCTGGGTTTAGCAATTTGGCAATTCATTTGCGACTGCCGAGTACACATAGCTCTTTAACCCCTTGCTAGCCACTAAGGTAGAGATGCCTGGGCTTGGGTTTATGATCCCTCTTCTTTTGGTTTTAGTCAGATGACTTAACAATCAGGCGTTAATATTCAAGATGTAATTTTTCCTGCTAGCCAGCGATTTACACTGTCCCTTTTTAGTGGGAAACCAAGACCAAATGCTCCGGCTGTCAGCTTGAAAAAGAGGAATGAGCCGTAGCTCAGCCAGATTGCCTGTCAGGCTCAGAGGAGCTCAAAGGTCAGGACTGTAGCCACTCCTGCTGTTAAGTAACAGAGCACTACTTCCTGGTCTGGTCCCCGCTCTGTACTCACTTCCTGAAAGCGCTGAGGGAGGAGAGAGAGGGGAGGCACTCATCCATAGGTGAGGAGTGCTTTAGTTTGTTTGTTTGTTTGTTTGTTTGTCTGTTAAAAAAGTTCCAAATCATGTGCTCTGTGCCCTTTCCTGTCCCCGCCTCACTCGCCCCAGTTCTTGCATGAATACAGCTTGCTTGCTTTTTCCTTTGAAAGCAGGATTCTTGGGATACCAAGGCTGTGCAGATGACTCTACGCTACAGGGAAATAAAAGCAGTGAACTCAATTGTTTGACTTGTAAGTGCCCTTAAGGAACCCAAAGAGGGTGGCAGCTCCCCAGGAAAGTCTCATGGTGAGCTCAACAATCCCTTTTCTCAGGAAGAACTGTTGGAACTTGGCTCCCGGTATGCAACAATGTGGATCAGAGAAGACTTTTCCAATTCTTTTGTGGTGAAATTAACAGTTTTCTACCTAAAATGATTCATTCAATGAGCAAAATACCTCCAAGTTAGGAGGAGCATTTGGGAGTTTTGGTAGCAGACGGGTGTGCAGCCACAAATAATGTAAAAGCTCCTCATGGGCAGGACCCATCCCAGAAATACACGCATTACAGAGTTGAGCACAATAGTCCATATCTGAAGTTTTAAGTAAAATCACTCTCCCGGAAGTTGTCTGTTTAGTAATACAATTGACCTCGAACAACATGGGTTTGAACAGTGCAGGCCCATTATATGTGGATTTTTAAAATAAATAGTGTAAATGTATTTTCTCTTCCTTATATATTTTTAATATTTCTCTAGCTTATTTTATTATAAGAATACATTATATAATACATATAACTTACAACAAGAGATGTGTTAATCAATTTTGAACAACAAATACACATCTATCAACAAGTGAATCTAAGAATCAAGTGAATAATCTGATGAACAGAATAAACTGGTGATTATAATAGAATCAGGGACAGCTTATGCTCTCAGTAAGGCTTCTTATCCATAGTAGGCTCTTTAATAATTAAGATTTGGGGATCAAAACTTATACACCAATATTCAACTGTTAGCACCCTTAACCCCCACGTTGTTCAAGGGTCAACTGTCATTGGATAACCAAGGGAAAAGCAGGCCAAGAGGTTCAGTGTGTGCACCACTAGTGCATATTCAAGCTTCTCACAGGTCAGACCCTGACCTCACTACAGCATTTGGTAAAAACAGTTTTCGAGGAGCAACCCTAGTGCTTGGGTATTCTAACATTTCTAAAGATTTGCCTTACGGTCCCCAGTCTCCTTCCTACAGTGTTTTCCATGGTAGGTATTTTTCCCCCTAACACTGTGTTCAGAAATAAAAATAGGAACTGCACCGGGGTGTCTGTCACCTCTTTCAAATACAGGTATTGAGATAAATTTGCACACACAGAAATCTATTTTTAAGCAATTCTGAGTGTAAACACCCAAATGATTCTGAAGATGCATCTGAAACTACAGGCTAACCAGATACGGCTTTGCAGAAACCAAAGCCAACAATAACGAGAAGTGTGAATTGTTGACGTCAACGCTGAGAGGGTTGAAAATAACAGCGTGCAGAGAAACACCTGTTCTTGTGGTGGCCTCCCAGAGATCTTGTTGCCTACAATCCAGTCAGAGCCAAGCGGATGATTATCCTCTAAAAACCAGTTCAAGGAAATGGATCTCCTTTTGGGAAATTGTGTAATGCTGAGATTAACTTGCAACAAGTCTCATTGATGATAGTTGTATAGAATCAAAAGTATCATGTACAAGAGTTTTGTCTAGCCTTTTTTTTTTAAAGGTAATTCTCTTAACAGTAGAAAAAGCTATTTGACTAGGAGGAAGGACCATGAGAAAAGGGAGAAGAAAAGACCTAGAAAAGATGAGAACATACAAATAAATTTATTTGGGTGAGAATATATGTGTAAGTATATATACTATACACATGTAAACATATACACATACTTGTGTGCATCTCATATGCTGAAATCCCACTCTTCTTTCAGTAACCTCCTACTGATTGCCCTTTTACAGTTCATGCTGTCTTCACTCGGGCTTAAAATCCAAAGGTCCCTCTTCCATCTTCATTGCCTTTAGTATTCAAAACTTTGGGTCTCCTCTCCATTCCCTCCATTTCTTCTTTCTCCAATGAGTGCAAGAGTTGGTCCCTCACCACTAGTCTCTACCCACTTATCCACAGACTGCATTTCCAGAATAAGATTCCTAAGTCCCTCTGCTGCTCAAACACACTCAATGGCTCCCTGTGCAGCTCAGATTGCTGCTGCCTCAGGGGGAGTGTCCAAGTGTTTTGCAAAGCAGCCCATCTCTGAGGTCTCTCCTCACCTCCCACACAGACACTAGGTCCTCCTAACCCAATAATGTGTCCTTCCCTAAACATTCCCTGAAGACCCCAAGATCTGTGCTTCAGCAGTAATTATTCCCTTGTTCTGGAATTCTAATATCTGGAATATCTCTCCTTCAAAGTTGTATTCAAAAACACATAGTATTTGGATTCAAGTATTTATGCTGTTTACTTTGTATAACACCTACTCATTCTCCTGCTTCATTGTAAACCCAATAAGGACAGGAAACATGTTCTTCTCATCTATTATACCTCCTATACTGTTCTTTTTCTGAAAACTAAATGAAGATTTTGGTACTTCCAATAGTTGCTTTTTTTTCATACAGGTAGTAAATTGATGGACATGCTCATCATTATGTTAAATTTAACATCATAAAAGCACTTTTGCATTGAAAAGATTGATAATCCAAACCATGGCAAATGATACCCTTATCTTCATTGTGAAAAAATCCCAAGGAATCAGCTACATACATCACTGAGAAAAGATTATGACTCCCACTATGTTCTACTCTCTAATTCCAAAATTAAAAGGCTTACATGGAGAACATGATACATTTGCAACATTTAAGGGCAAATTTTATGCTCTAAAACAATTGTAAGTATTTTCTGCACAACTCTTATGGCTAAATTCAGATATGTACTTAGGACATTATAGAAGGTTAAATAACTAGAGGTGTTATGGTTTTAATTTTTTTTAATTGGAAGCCAAAGAATAAAAAATGTTTACAATAAATCCAGTTAAACATGGGCTTTTTTCCTAATGCGTTTCCCTCTCTGGGGAAATACTTTGCAGTAAAAATAAAAATAATAGCATAATTATTGAGCATATACTGCATTTCAGACTCGGTGTTAAGCACTGCATATTTCTCACTTAAGCAGGGTGGCTCTATTATTATCGTCACTTTAGGAAAAAGAAACCTGAATCTTTGGGAGGCAAGTGACTTGTCCAAGATCCCACAGCTCTTAAGTGACTGGACTGATGTGCAATCTGCACTCACTTACCTAATACAAATAGTTTCCAGAGCATGAGGCATGTGCCCATGCCTCAAAGCTGAAGATAATTTAGTCCACAAAACTTGTCCTCCAAAAAAGCACTCTCATTTGGTTATGAACTGAAACGACTATCTAAGAC